GTCAACATACCATGAACCAACAGGAATAGTGAATACAGTAAAGGAAAAAATGCACGACATCACCCTTCATGCTTTTACTCTCAATCTCACCATAAAATCAATAAAAATGGCACGGCATCACCCTTCGTGCATTAACTCTCATATCAGGGCACGACATCACCCTTCGTGTATTAACACTCACAATATGGCATGGCATCACCCTTCGTGCATTAACACTCACAATATGGCACGGCATCACCCTTTGTGCATTAACACTCATAATATGGCACGGCATCACCCTTCGTGCATTAACATTCTCCCTTACCATAATGAAATGCATAAATAATAATAGGGAGATAGAATAATAAGTACAAACCTTACTTCAATATTTGGTTCCACAATATAAATCTCAACTTTTAAATAAACACTCGATTACCAATAGAAAATCCGTAAACATAATAATGACGATCACTTTAACGACACTAGTATAAACATGTAGCAATTAGGCATATGAAAGAGACAATATAAGAAAAATAAAGAAACATGGAAAACAGGTAAATTGGCGGCGCATAAGTACTCGTCACCTCATATATACGCCGCTTACATGAATTTCACTTAGCAAGTAATCTAAGGTTCTTAATTCCCCCAAGTTAGAGTTAGACACAATACTTACCTCGCTCCGAAGGCCACTTAATTCTCAATCACAGCTTTTTCTTTAGAATTCACCTCCAAACCACTCGTATCTATTCAAAAATGACTCGATAATATCAAATATTGCTAAAGGAATCAATTATATTGCATAAATTAAATTTCTCAAATTTTCCTTCAAAAAGTCAAAAAAATTGACCCCGGGCCCGCTTGGTCAAAACCCGAGGTTCTTACCAAAATCTATTTACCCATTCACCCCCGAGCCCGAATATATAATGGGTTTTGGAATCCGACCTCAAATTGAGGTCTAAATCCCCAAATTTCCGAAATTCCTAGTTTCTACCCTAACCCCTAATTCTACCATGAAAACTCTAGATTTTAGGTTGATAATTCAAGAAATGTAATGGGTAATTGTAAGAAAATGGTTTAAAATCACTTACCAACACTTTGGGGAAGAAAATGACTCTTGAAAATCGCCTCTACCCGTTTGGTTCTTGAAAAATGTTGAAGAAATGGCTTAAACCCGTGTTTGATTCTGCTTTATGCACTGGGCGACAGTGTGCATCGCGTTCGTGAGGCCACTGTCGCGTTCGCGAAGGGTACTGGCTGCCAAGACTTCGCGTTCACGAGACCCTGCTCGCGTTCGCGATGGTTTCTCCCCCCTGACCTTCGCGTTCGCGAGGCATTACTCGCGTTCGCGATGAAGGAACGACCAACCCTCCCCCAGGTCCCCAAGTGCTTTGCGTTCGCGATGAGCCGGTCGCGTTCGCGAAGGGTAAATCCCCCATTACTTCGCGTTCGCGACTAGGCCTTCCGTCACTGTTCACGATTGTTGTCTGCGGTATAATTGGTATTATTTTGTATATTACACTATTTGAATTCATTATGCCATTGAAGTGTTATAGCCTTGTGGTTTGAAAATAATTAAAAATAAAGAAAATCATTGACAATGATCAATAGCTTAAAATTAGTCAATTTTTCATTAACGACATTTGAAAATCTATCGAGTTCCTTTTGATAGATGATAATCCTAATTCCTTTGAAAGTACATGCTTTATTAGGCGTTATTTTCAGTGGAAAAAAAAGTAATTGATTAAGGTGCTTCGTAATAGTAATAAAATTAAACAAATTAGTAGCTCCTGAATTTCTAGCCTAATGTTTTATGGGAACAATAACGTGCACTTTGACAAGGACTCCTTAAAATCTTTTGTTTTACTCGGATAACTCATATTTTAATAGAACTTTTTATTCTAATGACAATTTTGGCCTTTACCAGTAGAAATAGGCATTAATGAGTCAAGGATATTTTCGTATATTAACATTATTATTTGTACTTTTATAATATATATAACAGTTAATGTTGTCTTGCACTTCAACAAGAAGGAATATATATATATATATATAACAGTTAATGTTGTCTTGCACTTCAACAAGAAGGAATATATATATATATATATAACAGTTAATGTAGTCTTGCACTTCAGCAAGAAGAATGATAAGTATAACAGTTAATGTTGTCTTGCACTTCAACAAGAAGGAATATATATATATATATATAACAGTTAATGTAGTCTTGCACTTCAGCAAGAAGAATGATAAGTATAACAGTTAATGTTGTCTTGCACTTCATACACTACTAGAAATTCGGTCAAAATCGACCGCGATCGACCGATCGACTTCGGTCAGTTAAAAATCGGCCGACCTTGGTCGGTTTTTTAAAATATTTTTATTTTTATTTTTTTTTAACGAAATCGATCAACTTTTGTCAGTTTTTTCTGGCGCAAAAATGTGGGAAACTATTTTTGCTTCCCGTGAAATTTTTTTAAAAAGAGAAACCCGGTGCACTAAACTCCCTCTATGCGTCTCGCGAAATTTATTTATTTAAAATAAATTAAAATTAATATTCAAAAAACCGGCCGAAATCGGTCAGTTATTTCGGCTGGTCATTTTAAAAAACCGACCGATTTCGGTCGGTAATTTTATTTTTTAATAAAACCGACTAACATCAGTTGGTTATTTTCGAGTGAAAATACAATTAAAGAGTATAAATTAAATAAAAGATAACCTTAAAACAAAAAGCACTAATGTTCTAGTGGTCGAATAGTATCTTGTCACAGTATAAATCCTGGTTCGATTCTCAGATGGTGTATTTTTTAATTACATGAATAAAAATACCGACCAACTTCGGTCGGAAAATACCAACCGACTTCGGTCGTTTTTTTCGATGATTTTTTATTTTTTGGAATTTAATTGACCGACCGAAATCGGTCGAAAAATACCAACCGAAGTCGGTTAGTTGGCTCTACCGACCATACAGTTACCGACTGCCACGAATCGGTCGGTTTCCAGTCGATTTTTGTCAATTACCGACCAACATCGGTCGGTTTTGATCGTCGGTTTTTCCCTTTTTTAATAGTGAAAAAGAATGACATAAGATCCATGATAGTAACGTGTTACCCTATAAATTAAATTACAACTTACTTCTACTAAATTATAAGAAACATTAAATGTTATCGAAAAGAGTTATTTAGAGAGACAAAAGCAACGAGCATGAGAGAAATTTGAAACTTTTTACTTTTTAGATTTCACTTCTTGAACATACTGAATTGAGATGAACTTCACCTAATGCAAAGATTCACGGGTTAAAAGTTCAAGCATTAAGGTTTTGAATTAATATCCTCCATGCCCTTTGTGCTTTTTGCTACCTATAAGGGAAAAAAAAAAGGGGAGACAAAAGATTAGAGAATTCTTGAATTGCATATACGATATGTTAATACCTTTATACCGATAAAGTGTCGCTTATATAGAATTAAAAGTAGTGCAAAAGTACTACACAAAGAGAATATATATATATATAAAAGGTGATGTGGCACCTCTCTATAACTACCTTTGGTATTTATCTTTTTTGTCAATTTTTTGACATTTTCCTCTTATTTTCCCCTTAAAATATTTGTTTAAATACAAACGACACTCTTTTAGTTTCTATCTTTAATTTTTTTTCATTAAGTTCTTTGTTATTACAAGACTTTAAATGCATATACGTTACAGTATAACCGAAGAGGCAAAAGCGTGTATCAGTTACATTTGGAGCATTTGATATTGTCTTCAACTTTCTTTATATATTCATATATTTTGCAAGTTTTCAGTTAAATTTGTTGGCAAATTTCATGACTTATGTGAGCATCCATGGGAAAGAAATTGTGATAATTTTACTACGTATCTTTTGGATTCTCAGTTCTCATATGCACCAATGAAATACAAGATAAAGATCTCTACTTCTTGACAATTTTATGTGATTTTCGACAAAAATAAGTGTTGTTATTTTGGCTTAGTACTTATTTTTATTTTGTCCCTCCTCTTATATAATTGTCTGTGTCTTCTTGGTAAATCATGATCGGGATAGCGAACCAAAAGCTATGGAACATGGGTGTAGGTCTTTTGTCGAAATGGAATGGCTTTTCTTCTTCTCTTTTTATTTATTATTTATCGTGAATGGGGGAATCATTACACATAATATTCCCGATCAGCGTATTTTTTTATTTTACACCCAGTAACTCTTCCTCAGCCAGCCAGGCTTGGACAGAATATCAGAGCAAGTATTAGTAGCATAACAAAAAAAGCAACCTATTTTGCATCGCTCAAAATTGACTGGTTGAATATTTTCATCAAATTACGGTCTATATCTAGGCCACTAGCTTTATTTCCTTTTATAATTTATACAACTATGCCACTTAGGAGTTAAGGTCTAACGGCGCTAGACAATGAGATTATATTGCACTCAGCTATGTCTCTGCTACATCGTCCATCCTTTTACATATATTTTATAAAATTCAATCATTCAATTTTCATATTTTGTGTCATTTCTGTTATTGCAAAATTTATCATAGTAGTATTGCAGTGATACAATATTCAAGAGAATAAAAGAAATTTTCAATATTCATAAGAGTTACCAAGAAATATACTTATGTGTTAAGGAAAAGAGATCTAGAACATAATTGTATTATTGTACCTTTGTTTGGCTATTCGTACATTGCAACAAATGATTCGTATTGATTTTATGATCTTGGTATTCATGTCTAATGTTGATTAGGTATTAATGTCTACACATTTATGTTACTTATCAACAATAAAAAGTTTTTTCTGTATTTGTTTTCTCTTTAAAGTAAATTTACAATTTATAATTTGTTAATTTATTATTTTACACTCAGCGCGAAGCGTTCACTAGTCTCTATACATATATAAAGCAGGGGAATACAAATCTGACGTGACATCTATCAAATGTCAGGCTTTGTATTTATCTCTTTTCTTAGAGCTTTCCCTTTTTAAACGAAGAAAAAATAGTTTCCTGATGAAAATTAAAGTCCCGTCTTTTTTCTAAATTCCATCGATTACACTCATATGTCAAAAAACAAAAAACCCAACCGTCGCTTCTGCTTAAATTCCTTCCATAACATCGCTCACTCTCCTCTCTTAATTGCCATACGTGTTTTTCTCTTCAATCCTCTGTGTTTTAGTACTCTTCTTTTTTCCCAATCGCCACAGAAGAGTTGTTTCTCTCAATTCTCAAGGTAAATCTCTTCTTTATGATTTTGGAACATATTTATTCTCTTTCATATTTGGCTTGTTTTCTCTACGTTATACCTGCAACATGAATGTATCTCTATTTATCTATTTTCAATTTTAATATTTAGATTTTATCTATTTGTTATTCAACTTCTGGAATATTTCGCTAAATTTTTAACCGTTGCTTATCGCAAGTGCTTACCAGGTTTATTCTGTGAAAAAATAAAATTAACAGAGCATGTTTATGTTGATGCCCATGAAGTGCTCGACAAAAAAGCCCTATAGAGGTACAATTCAAACGGCTGCAGGACAAACCACTCAACAAATGCAGGTCGGTTATTCTTTTACACCTTGTATAGTTAATAGTTGGGACAAAAAAGGAACAAACGACCTTGAATAATTGTGATCATTCAATTATACAGTGTCTTTAAATGTTCATTACAGTTTAGTCATATGGAGTTTCGACTATTAGATTTTCAACTTCCTGTTAGTTCATATATTCCTTTTGATTATAAAAAAATCTTGTATATTTCTATTTCTATATTTGCCCTTCTCTCATATTATTTTTCGCTCCACTCTTTCATGCTTTGATTTACGAGCGACTTATGCATTTAACATACAAGCAACATTTTAATAATCAGAATACGACTTATTTGCAGTAGCATTGCATTGCTTAGGAAATCTGTTTTTTAATTTTCTCATATTCTTGCCTTTTTATCTAAGTATTCTTTCTCTTAATTATCATGTTGTTTCTGCCTTTTTGGGGTGTTTGACATTTAAATGAAGCATAAAGTTAGCTTATACTCTGATCAGTTCTTATACGGTTGAGGGGAATAACGGAAATACCTATCTATCAGCTATTGGAATGGTTAAAACTATTAAAATAAAGGTGACAATTAAAGTTGCAAAGCCAATAGTTTCTCTTCACACCCCACTTTAACCTTAGATTTCAATCAACCCACCATAATTGCCCACCACAATGCGGCAATATTAATCTAACGGGGACAACCGTTGATTTCTGATGCTGTTAAAATTGACAGAATGAAGCTTGTGAAGAGAACACTCAATGGCACGATGATATAAATTACATGCACTTACACTTGCAAAAGATGCAGTATCAATATTTGGCAAATTTGAAGCAACAACTTGCTTTTCTTACTTTCAGTATCAATATTTGGCAAATTTGGAGATTCCTTCTAATCTTTTATCATACAGGATTTGACCATACTTGTCTTTCTCTTTATCCTCTGTTTTTTAGTACTCTTCTTTTTTCCAATTGCCACAGAGGAGTTGTTTCTATCAATTCTCAAGGTAAGTCTTTTTTTTGTCATTCTCAATGTAAATCTTTTTTGTGTGATTTTGGAACATAGTTATTCTCTTTCATGTTTAGTTTGTTTTCTCAGCTTTCTGCCTGCAAGACTGAAGGTATCTCTATTGTTGTCTATTCCCAATTTTAATATTTAAGATTTTGTCTTTTTGTTATTCAACTTCTGAAATATTTCACAAAATTTTTATCTGTTGCTTTTCATTGTTTTTGGGTATTGGACTTTTTAGTTTCCATTGTCTCCAACATTCTTTTTCAACATATACTTGGTGGTGGTTGATAAGTTTATCATTTGATTATTGGTAATTGGTGTTTGGATCTTTTAAATTAGCCGTCATGCTTCCTACTATTTTTTAATATTCTATTTCGCGAAGATTTGATTTTTTGGTTTCTTTTTCACTTTGTTCTGTTGGAAATTTAAATTTACTGTGAACTTGGAGTTCTAAGATGTCAGACACAAGCGTAAGGCCTTAAAGCCAGTCTCTGCGATTCCGGGTACTGAAATAGTATAAATTTTCTTAGTTTGTCACCAATCAAGATTTAATTCTTAATTGGTACAAAACATTAATGCTTCAGCTCCAATTTTCATGCTTTTCTTTTTCCATACAAGTTTGTGAATAATTTAGTTGTTGCGTAATCATTATCACTAATAATTTATTATTCAAATTCTCCAGCTGTCCCCCTTTAGCTATCCTTGGAGCATTTTCTGTTAGGTATGCATCTAACCTATCGTATATAGTCTATATTTTGTTAACCTGCAGTAGAGTCAATCTGAAGCATTGATTGAGTCCATGGTATATTTTACTCCCTATATAGTTTGTTAATCAGTCATTTATAGAATATTATGTGAAATTGAAGTCACTATTTGTTAGTATTATGTGAAACTGAAGTCACAGTTAGTTTTCTACCTCGGGGCAACAGAGTTTTGTAGAATTGAGTCGCCCGAAGAGAAGTAGAGAATCAAAAGTATATACTTTTTCTCTGAGTTTGTTTTTATTTTTAAGTTTATTTTTCCCGTGGTCTATAACCGCTCCATCAGTCCATCTAGAGTATTTTTCATTCTTCTCAACTTGATATTTTAGCTTTCATCACTTTCAGTGACCATATTTACTAATAATTTGTTATTCAAATTCTCCAGCTGTCCCCATTTAGCTATCCTTGGAGCATTTTTTGTCAGGTAAGCATCTAACCTATTGTATATCGTCTATATTTTGTTAACCTGCGGTAGAGTTAATCTGGAGCATTGATTGAGTCCATGGTATTATAGTTTGTTAATCAGTCATTTATAGAATATTCTGTGAAATTGAAGTCACTATTGGTTAGTATTATGTGAAACTGAAGTCACAGTTAGTTTTCTAACTCGGGGCAACAGAGTTTTATAGAATTGAGTCGCCCGTAGAGAAGTAGAGAATCAAAAATATACTTTTTCTCTGAGTTTGTTTTTATTCTTAAGTTTATTTTGTTTTCATTCTTAAGTTTATTTTTCATGTGGTCTATAACCGCTCCATCTAGATTATTTGTCATTCTTCTCAACTTGACATTTTAGCTTTCATCACTTTTAGTGACCACATTTAGAGGTTAATACTAGAACAAATGAAGTTGGAAGCAATTGTGTGGGAACCCCTTTGCTAAAGAGGTTGAGTTTGAGAATAGGAATAGATTTCTGAGGATCAACTATCGATAGTTGACGTGTGATTAGTTTTCTACATGTTACATTTATTCATTGAGGTATATCATAATCTAACAACTTTGTGTTTGTATTTACCAAAATCTTTCAGCAATGACATCTTTGGTAGAATTCAGTTTGCTAATTATTGAAAGAAGCCAACATTTGTATTCCTTATGGAAAGAAGATAGAAGCTCATATCTTTTATACATATAAGAACTAGGTAAGCTTGGCAATGAGGGAGCAAGAATCGTGTTTACCCTTTGAGGCGGAAACAGAGATAGAGGTTCAACGTAGTTGGAGCTTCCAAGGTCATAAATGTCTTCTACATAGTCGAGTGTATCTTAGTAGTAGGATTTACAAGTTTGATTCCTTCTCTTCTTTAAAGTCTATTTGTAACCTGATAGGACTATCTTTTAAAAATTGATTAAGTTCTAGATTATCTGTCAGCCATTATCATTTTTCTTTTAGTTTTGTGATTTTCACAGTTTTCATTCCTTAATTTAACTTTTGTGTGATTATCTTTAATGCTGAAGTTACTCAATTGAATGTGTGGATCATCAAAAAAATATTTTAAATAGTAGTGTAATACATGAAATAACATTCCAACTGCAAAGGGTGTTATAAACAAAGGGTAAATGGTAGTAACTTGAGTTCTTAATCAAACCAATAAGTGCAAAACCATGTGTTGGGTAAATTCNGGAAAGTTTGTATATCATTTATATAAATCTGATCTTCTAATAATACTTTATTTATTTGTTTCATCAGTAGTCTTAAGATGAATTTTCTATAACTTTAAGGAGTATTAGATTAATTTTTATTTTATTTTAATACTCCTTTGAATTTTTCATACATAGATAAATCTTAAAATGCTTCAGAGTTATAACTTATATGGAAGTATATGTTTTAACTTCTAACTAAACTAAAGTTATGAACTACGTAAGAATTAAGCCAAATATGTGTTGTTTCACTAATGCAAATTCATTAGTTTGATATAAAAAGGGGAGAAAGCACCCAGTAAATAAAAAAGTTGATGTGTGCTTTGGTAAATGAAGGGTAGTTGTGGCTTTAAAGAAGTGAGTGGTCGGGAATTCGAACACACTCGTGACATCATCTTATACTTTCTTCCTTTTACCCTAATTAGGTCCTTTTTTATTTTATCACGTAGCTACTTTTTAATACAAAATACTACTACTTTATTTATTTTTCTAACTACTTATTCCTTGAATTTTGCTTTATCTTTCCTTTTTTTTTTAATTTTCTTTTTCTATTTTACCTAATAATTCTCTATAGCATAGCAAAAAAGAGGAAACTCCAAAGTTCGACCCCATTTAAAAACTAGCAGTTTTTCTAGAGTGGCAAAATTCATCAAAAAAAAATTTCTGGTTACACCCATCCATAATATCAATATGAGTCTTTCTATTAACTTTTTTTTTTTTGTCGTCATGTTCAAATAGTTGTGCACTTATACTATGTGATTGGTGGTAACTATACGTGAAAAAGTTAAGCATCCATAAACTTAAAATCCTAGATCCGCCACTGGGCTTAGAAGATTTATCGTGGAATTCCCTAATCTTTTTTTCAGTATTTTTTCTCTTTAATTTCTCTATCCCTCGTTAATGATCAACTATTTACATACAGAAATAAAAAATTTATAAGCTACCTCAGATTATCCTTTGTGCACATGTATAAATAGCACTATAAAATTTTAGTTGATGCTAGTCTTAATAGTTAATGCTGATGTTGCACGTAGTCCATACACAAAAGGAGTTCAAATATAATTAAGAAAAATAATTCTAATTCAAATAAGGAAAAATTTAATAAGAGAATTCGAGTTGATTTAAAGTCCTAAATTTTAGGGGGAAAAAATAAATAACTATTCCTAAATATTAGAAAACTAAATAAATGATTATTCCTAAATATTAAGAGAATAATTAAATGACTATTTTGTCCAATATGAACTCTATTTTAAAAAGATAAAAAAAGAGAACGACATTTCATTAAGGATTTTCGTGCTTTTAATATATATATATATATATACATCCAAAAAATTATATGAAAAGTGTGATTTTAATATATATTTTCATTTCAATTTATATGATACACTTTGACTCGCCATAAAATTTATAAAGAAAAAAAATTTAAAACTTATGATTTTTAAAGCATAAAGGGTAAAGGTTTGTGAGACCATAAAATTTGTGTGGCTATAAACTTTTCATTAAAGATAAATATAATAAAAATTTTAAAACTAAATTATTTTTAAATATAGAAATATATTATTTTTTTTGTAATGGACTAATAACGAAAGTATGTCACGTATAAATTGCGCTTCTCATATTAAAAAATATATTTTAATATCTCGAAAAGCGAAAAAGGATATATAATTGGGAAAAGAGGGAGTACAAGGTTTCCTTCGAAAGAGGCTCTGACTTTAGTCAAAATTAAAGTCTTGGTTTCAATGTGAGCTCAATAGCTCATTCCATCAGCTTCTCGACTTTCACTTGGCAGATGAAAAATCAGCCGCAATAAAGGGAATACTGAAGAATCTCGCTGGTAGCTGAGCTGTATATAATCGTTATATTCTTCAAATAATATATTGTGCTCAGACAGAGTCCGGAACCTAAATGTAATCTTTTTAGACTTAAATGACCGAAATGAGTTAAAAAAAAATATTGTGACCAAACTATATTCGCTATACCTTAACGTCCGCCCTTTAAAAAGGCGCTATATATGAAGTTGATTAGACGTCCAAGTATAGTGCAGTTTATTAATGCGTTATATGTATAGCGCCTTAATAAACGGCACTATACCCCTTCAAATATCCGTCCCTTCCCTTTCCCCTGTTACAGAAGCAAAACAACCCCCACCACCCCCATTTTTAAATCAAACCAGCGGTCCCCCCATTAACGACCCAAAAAAACTAGAGTGGACCCCACCTGTCCCACAAAAAATAAAGATTATTGGTCCCACATCCTAGCTAAGCCTTCTCTCATTGTGGGTTGCTCGTTTCGGATTCAAATCCTCAACATTACAAAAAATATAAATCGAGGTATTCCGATTTAGTTTTTGTCGAAACTCGTATAAAAAAATGCATATTAGTTGTTTTAAATGTGTTCTATATTATTTTGTATTTTTTTTGTGATTAAACTGGTATGTTATTTTTATCCGGACTAAGATATTAGTGTGCTAAAATAATATGTAAAAAATGAGAAATTATTATTATTTGTTAAAAAAAAGTTAATAAGTTACTTTTTACTGTTGTATATGTATTTTCGTGAATGTTTTGTGATTAAATGTATTTGTTATTTTTATCTGATTTAGATTATTTATTTGCTTAAAGATTAGTAACATAGTTCCCTTTTAGAGTAGTAAAATGTAGTGCCTTTTAGCGTAGTATCCCTGTAGTTATTGAAATTAATCATTTAAGTTCTCTTATACCCAAAAATACGTCAAAATAGCTGATAGAACAAACACAAACTCTGTCCAATTCTAGTCAACGATCGTAAAAAAATAACATGAGAAAACAACAATATTTTTCAGATATCTTGGTGCTACTGGGCCTCAAATATCGAGCTCGGAACCCATTTGTGAATATTTAATAATTAAATCTTGTATAATTATAAAAATTAATTATTTAATTTTATTAGATTCAAAAATAAGTGAGTAACAAACAAACGTATAAAATAAAATATGTAAAATAATAAAATAATATATAAATTAATAAGACTAACACATACAAGAATTCATGATATCTTGGTGCTACTAGGCCTCAAATATCGAGCTTGGAACCCATATATGAATACTTAATAATTAAATATTATATAATTATAAAAATTAAGTATTTTATTAACAAACAAACATATAAAATAATAAAACTAGCACATACAAGAATCCGAAATATCTTGGTACTACCGGATCTCAAATATCGAGCCTGGAACCCATATGTGAATACTTAATAATTAAATTTTGTATAATTATAAAAATTAATTATTTAATTTACAAACAAACATATAAAATTATAAAACTAACATGTAATTAATGTTGTTTAATTTACAGTAGACGACATGGAGGTTCCGCCTATGCATCCCAGACCTTCCAACGATGAGCTACTATCTTTACAGGGCGATCATAGGTCCTCCCACATATGGGAGGGAGAGTTACTAGCCCAGACTCTCTTCGTCAGGAGAGTGGACGACATGTGGGATTTTCTGAAGGGTAAAGTTCTCCATCCCCGTATAGTCAAACGCCTGGAGGATACAAGCTTCTGTAGGATTTTGGAGATCGGGCGGCTGCAGCTCGATTGGTTTTTGATCACGACCCTGATAGAGCAGTGTCAACCGGAGACGCACACATTCCACTTGCCCCATTGGCGAGGCCACCATCACACTGCGGGACGTGGAGGTTATATATGGGCTGCCTGTTGATGGACACCCCGTTGCTCTGCCGCAGGCCATGAGAGAGCTGACAGGTGGGTAGTACCTGGACATTCTCCAGCAGCTCACTCGTTTCCGGCCATAAGAGAAAACTGCACTGGCTGGGGCCAGTCGTCTGCAGCTAACGACTATGCGAGACCATTTGAAGATATTGCACCCTGACATCATAGGCGGTACACCGGAGCTGCATATTCACCGGTACACGAGGTTGCTGCTGCTCCTTATGTTTGGAGGGGTCTTGTTCCCGAACACTTAAGGGAACCTAGTCAGCTTGAGATTTCTTCATCATCTTGAGCGGCTAAATGATTTACCCAGTACAACTGGGGTGTTGCTGTTCTTGCCTACTTGTACAGGCATATGTGCCGGGCTACCATAGGCACCCAGCGTGACGTTGCTGGATTTTTGCCGCTGCTACAAGTGAAATCATATTCTAATACTCTATTCATTATATCATACCCAGTAAAAATATATCTTAAATTTTACGTCCACTTTGTATGTTAGGTTTGGGCCTTGGAACGGTTCATACAGTTGCAGCCACCACTACCACCATTAGCTTCGGGTGTACCACCTCTCTTTATCCCTCTAGCTAGGAGGTGGGTTCTCCAGCGGGGATATGGACGAGAGTACGTGACTCGACATAATCTCCCATTGTGTAGGAATTTGTTGGATTTGCTGGAGGGCGCATGGGTAAATGTATACCTAAGTTTACTTGGCCTGGCTTCACATGTGTTGCGTATACTCATATTTTCTGTTGTTACTTAATAGTTCATCTGGACGCCATACAACGACGAGCTGATAGCTGGCTTGCCCTATTATTGCTCGGCCGACCGACTTATTTGGAGCTTTTCCGTCCCATTGATGTGCCTTGATATTGTGGAGCATCATGCCACAGAGCGGGTACTTCGCCAGTTTGGCCGTCCGCAGCTTGTACTGCCACCACCCACCTGGCAGACTACACATTTCCAGCAGGATGATCGTTCCAGGGTGGACCGGGCATATGTGGCATGGCTA